ATCTCCTCTCTTTTTTATTGGTAGTATGTCATGTGCAATTGAGTTACTGGTGGTAGCATCATGCAATGAGATTATAGTGTTGGAAGTTTTAGATTTTTTTTTTTGCAGTGTATATGACTGAGATTTTAGTTGTACTATGAACTCTTTATCTTACAAGTGCATATTGATATTTGGTAGTGGTAATTTTTCCTTCATGTTTCATGTGTTGTGAGATGTGTGTCATAGATTATCATGTGAAAGTATTGAACAAAATATTAATATTTATTATTATATTTCTATAAAATACTTAGTAAATAAATATATAACATATTTTGTATTATAACTTTGATATTTAATTACAAGATAATGTAAAAAGAAGACAATAGGCAATGTAGTGAATATAATTAATTAATGAATTTGAATTAAAGGTAAGAAATTTTGAATTGTAAAAAATAAATATTTTTTTTAAGGTTGTAGAAAATGAATATAATATAACTAATGAAATTATATCTCTTTTAAAATTGTTTATAATGAATAATTTTTTTTTTGAATGATGACATTATAGGCATCTAATTCTAAATTAATTAAATACATGTGTATTATTTTTTGTTGTAGCTATCAATATATTTAATTTAATAAGAGTAATAAAGTGGCGTATATACTTTTCATCAACAACGTTAAAGTCATTAATTTTTTTAATTTACATCATTGTTGAGACAAATTGTTTTGGGAGTTTGTCAACGGAATTTGCTACAATTGTTGTCAATAGATTATAATAAATAATTCAAAATATATTGTTACAATAGATATTGTTATAATGATATAATAAAAATTAACTTACAAAATTTTTTAGAAGCTTTCCTACATTAATAAAATTCTAAGAATTTCAGTGGGATTTAACATTGTCAATTCTTTGAAAAATTGTCCTATCATTTTAGAGTCCTCTGATCAACAACTTTGTAATTAGGTCGTGTAGGTCTGAAAATGATGTTAGAACACTTTTGTCCCATAAAAAATAATAGTATAATATTTGTAAAGTAATGTACAATTTTACCGTTATAAAAAGACATACAAAAAAAATATTAATATCATAATGACCTAAATCATTCCAATAATACCCAAAAAAAAAAACATAATTGAAATATTGAGTTTTGTTCTAAATAATCAAAAGAATATTAATTAAATGGGGGGAAAAAAAAAAAAACTTAACCTAAATTTGTTTTTTTTTTATGCAAAAAAATAAATTTATAATCTTTGATGCTCAACTTTGAATGTTTTGTATTTAGTCGAACTAATTATTTGACCAAAGATAATTTAAATTTTATATTGTATTTTTTTTTAATACTCCGTATATTTTAACATATTCGTAGTATATGTTTAACAATTATGCCAACTCTGATTAGGATGAGGTTCGAACCTAAGACCTTTCTTATAGAAACTAATGAGTAAGTTAAGAATAATAAATAATTAACGGAATATTGCTTTGCTAAAGTTTATACTAATGGAATCCAATGTTATTTAAGGGAAGAAAATAATATAATAGAGGGTAAATAAGGAAAATTATAAAAAAAAATAATATGAACCATTCATTTCAAGAAACAATTACACCGATATTTTTTTGTTCCAGTTAAGGGTCTAACATTATTGGCTCTTATTAGATTTGTAGATATTAAGAATCTTAGGATGTCCTGCATATGCTCATTCTAGTACGGGTAAATTAAACTCTAGAGCTATCAAATTCATTTTTTCTTTGTTATGCTTCTAAGTCAAAAGGGTATGGTTTATGGTCTCCTCGAGTCACAACAAGAGTATTCTATTACTCAAGATCGACCTAGGAAGACAATTTAAAAACCTGCTAGATATGCTACTGATAATAAAGTCCATTTGATTGTTTATACTCTTTCAATTGCACAGATTGTCCATTCTGCTATACGAGGCTATTTCCTGTGCGAACTCATCCAAGTGGTTGTCTTCCTATTGCTAGTTCAATTAATGTTTAAGTTCAATCAGCTATTCCAATTATTGATTTTCACAGTCGATTAACATCCACATCTCCACATAACCATGCAGCACATTCCCTCATGTCCACGGCGCATTTCTTCATCTTCGTGTGGCGCAAAAGTTTCTCCAAAGAGGTGGCAGCCATAATTTGTTTCTTAATCACCTCATCTCTTCAATTCATCCATTATTCTCTTTTATTTCCCTTCCCCATATATATATATATATATATATATATATAAAAGAGGCGAAGTAGTAGGGACTGATTCAGAAATTTTTTTTCAGTAAAAGCGTAACATTAAAACAAAAGAAATAATTAAAAAAAAAAAAGGAAAATTGTAAAAAATGCCCCTCTATAATATGTCAATTATCAATGTCACCCCTAAATTATGAGTGGTGTAAATGTTACCCCTCAATTATCAAAACGGTGCACATATAGCCCCTCCCGTAACTGACATGTGGTTCCCCGTTAGTGTACGACACCATTAAGTAGGAGTAAATATGTAATTTAGTTGTTTTTTCCCTCCCTCGATTCGAAGTACCAGCAATGGACAGCGATGGGGAACCACAGGTCCGTTACGGGAGGGGCTATATGTGCACCATTTTGATAATTGAGGAGCAACATTTACACCACTCATAATTCAGGGGTGACATTGATAATTGGCATATTATAGAGGGGCATTTTTTACAATTTTCCCAAAAAAAAAATTACCTAAGAATAGTTGTAAATATTGTTTGATATGGACGAAAAATAAAACATATCGAAACTTTATAAAAATATGAAACATAATTAATTTAATAAAAAAATTGAATATACAACACATTATAAATTATACATCTCACTATTAATATAAAAGAATGATATAGGTTGTGTGTGTATTAAATATTAAAGAAAAAACTATTAAGGTTGATACTAAAGATTTGAACCCTTGATCTTTAATATTACCATACATGTGCTCTACCAACTAATCTAACTCATTTCCTATTAACATTTAATAGTTTTTTTTATACTAATACTAAAACTTGTACTATATATACATATATACATACAAATATTATATATGGGGTGGGGGTGGGGGTGGGGGTGGGGGTGGGGGACAGCTGCCCCCCCCCCCCCCTTTGTCATTTTATATTTTTCCTCATTTATATTTTAACTTCTCTGTAATTCTCAATTTTTAATTATTCACTTCCACATTATTATCAGAGAAAGAACATACGTACCAGGATTCTCTCGCCGTTTTCGCCAATTTCCGTTGTATTCCTAACAATTCCATAAATCATAATCCACACAGCTGTGTGAACTATAAATAAAAAATAAAGTATATTTAATATACTAAAAATACATTATTTTGTATATTATCAAATAATGTATTTTTAATATATTAAAAATGTACCATGTATTCATAGTCCACACAATTATAGGAACCATAGTTCACAGAAAAAATTACCATATAGACTTTGCCAATATTAGTCCAAATTAGCGAAGTTTAATGCTGCCTAATTTACTAGATGTCGCAATCTGGACATCTTCCGAACAAAGTTCAACAAATGAAACAGCCCATTAAACGTAACCAATTTTTAAATTTTTACAATCGTTATGTTTTCCAAGAGATAACCCAGAAAAGTAACCATAGTCCACAAAGTGTTGGTTAATCATAAAAATAGTCGTTATACCGTAGACCACGGTCAAAACGACGTCGTTTCTTTAAATAAAGAAACGGTGCACCGTTAGTTTTAACGAAGTGCGTATTTTTTGTATGTTAATTACCAACTGACACTACAGTATATCTAAATCGACACTGTCTCACGTATTATTTTTATATTATCAAATGATGAAACTGCAATTATATCAAAATGATACTGTAGTTGTAGTGAAATGAAATTGCAGTGTATATAAAATGAAACTGAATAACATTTCACATATTTGAGTGTATATTGTACAATGAAACTGTAATTATATCTAAATGATCATGTAGTTGTGTTTTAATAAAACTATAGTTATTAAATAAAATTTTCACATATTATAGTCTATAAATATCAAATGAAACTGTAGTTATATCAAAATGAAACTATAGTTGTGTTGAACCGAAACTGCAGTGTATACAAAATAAAACTGATTAATTGAATAACAGAATTACTTTTTACGAAAGGGTGCAAAACAGCGGGAAACAGATGCCGTTTCTTTTCATTAAACAAAACGATGTCGTTTTGATGCGCGGTGCATAATCGATTATGCATCGCGGTGCATGATATAATTTGCCTCATAAAAAAGTTTATTTTTAATATATTAAAAAGTACATTATTTGTATACTGAATATACATTATACAAAATAATATACTTTTAGTACTCAAATAATATATTTTTTCTGAATACAAGGTACATTTTTTATATACTAAAAGTACATTATTTGTGTATTAAATATACATTATTTAATAGTATACAAAATAATATACTTTCATTACTCAAATAATGTACTTTATATACACAAATAATGTACTTTTTATTTATTTATGGTCCACAGCTATGTAAACTATGGTTCACATGAGTTTTATGTAAAACGTCTTTCATGAGACAGTGTAATATGTTTTTAATTAAAAAATGTAATACTTTTCTATTGATGCATAAAAATATTACTCCTCTGTCTCATTTTATTTATCCTACTTACTATTCATTGGTCAAACCAACTCTTTCTTTTTTGTTTATTTCTATTAACATTTTCATATAATTTTTAAATTTGATTTTGTGTTTAGTAGTACTTTTAATATAGTTTCTAAATATATAATTTTTACATAATAATTCTAAATTTAATATTATAAAAAATTAAATTGTAAATAACTTTAGTCAAGCCTCGTTAACCGACATATAAAATGGGACGGAGGGGGTATATTTTAATTATAAAGTATTACACATCTCACGTAATAATGTCTTACACAAGACTTACTCTATTATAAATATCTAACAATGGAAACCTGATATACAAGAAACAAAGCAAAACCTAGAAGACAGAACACCAAATAAAATGTAAACAAGACTTAAAAAGCGTTCTCTTACTATTTCAAGAAAGGCCAGAAATATAGTTCTCTTGTTAGTTAAATATACATTGTTCTAATGGAATATTCAGCAGAAACAAATCATTTTCATTGAAACACAGTGCAATCGTACAGCCACATCAACAAATGGAAAATAATACACATACGAACCTTCACTTGAAGAAGTTCATCCCATGATGCTGCATTGATCCTACTAGCATACATATAAAAAGAGATATAAGATCTTCCTTTGGAAAGATTTTCAAACAATTCAAGCAAATGTATCATCCATGCATGTTTAAACCTTTTTAACAGGACCAGCTTATCAGAGTATCTGTTTTCTTCAGGAAAAAAGAATTATGAAAAAGTTTGGCTTAGAAGTTATCCATTATCTGTGATCGGTAGTAACTTGTAACCCTTAATTGCATACAACATTCAAAACTTCAACGGAATTCGAAAATTCAATGGATCCAACATGAAATTGTTTTTTTTTTACCAACAAAAATAAAAACCCTTAATGGTTAAATAAGAATCTAATGTATTTGGCTTAGAAATGATCCAGTACAAAGATTGGTGAATTAGCAGATCTTTTTGCAGCCAAACTATCATCTTGTTACCAGATTGTTTATTTTCATATATGTTGAAGGGGGCTTAGGTATCTTGGCCCTGTTTGGTAAAATATTAGCCTATCAACCAATTTTGGCTTATTTGACCACTATTAATTGTTTGACTTGGTTAAAAAATTCAACTCCAAAATACTAAAATTCAAAAAAGCAGCTTTTTCAATTAGCTTTTTGAGAAAATAAATTATATACTAAACAGCTATCAGCTAACAACTAATTTACCAAACACCTTCCTACAATCAGCTAATGTTATGAATTAGTTATACCCTCTAATTAACCCAATCAGCTAACAGCTAACAGCCATTTACCAAACAGGGTCCTTATTAATTTATCACAAGTGTATTTTGGGAACTTCAACTTTGTTTATGGAATTATGGTTAACTAATCAGAAAACCCAAAGTGTCATCAAAAGAAAGAGTTGAAACTGCAGGCTTCCCCTCTTCAGCTTTAATCTTTTAGTACTACTAGCAAGCCAACCACATCTAGTTTCACGTTTAGGCATGTAGCATCTACTGGCTGTGTATTTTATTTTCCTTTTTTTTTTTTGTGAAGATTTTATTTTCCTTTTGTTAGTTGAATTAAAACACCAAGACTAATTCCTTACAACAAAATAAACAAGGCAAGCTCTGTGGACTACTGAATAGATCGGTGTGAAACATAATCTACATACCTAACATCATTTTGATGACTGACGGTCCCACAGGACTTGCTCATCAATCTTGCTCAGCATCTCATCATCCAGTCGCTTCCATGTTTTGATCTTTTCCACACCCATCCAGGTCTTTTCACCCTTTTCAAGCTCAGCCAATATGACCCTAGCTCTTCTTGGCCATCCAGCAATACCATAACCATGATAACCAAACCCTCCACCATAACAAAACCATATGCCATCTAGATTTCCACAAAAGTCATTCTTGTGGTCATGACCTATAAAAACAGCCTTCACATCCCCCATTGAAACAAGAGTCTTTAAAACTCCAGAATTCACTACTGAACATGCTATATATTCGCTATATTTGCCAACAACCCCTTTAACAGGACCTTGCCGGATTTCTGGAATAGGAATATGGAAGAATGCTAATGCAGGGTGCATAATTGAGAAAGAAGGAAAGTCCGCTAAATGATTGTCGTTCAGCAGTTGTCCCTGTTATTGTGTGGCCTGCAACAAGTTAATACAATCTAAATGCGCAAAGACAAACAGAACACAAGCCTTCAATTAATGCATAGAATTGCAGCTAGTTAATCGTCTAGTTGATTTTAGGGTAATGGGTGCAAAGCACAGTAAAAATTGTAGACATTTAGTCATGAAAGCATATCATGGTAGCCATGGAGACCTTTTGTTCTGTCTTTTATTTGCAATCTATCTACTAACAAAGAAAAGAAAAGTTTGGTTTTGCAGTCATTGTACCTGAAATCTCTTAGAAACACTACGAAGCCAACTGAGCTGAGACTCCTTTATCCATCCATATGTTCTGAACCCATCAACAATAGCTCTATCTCCACTATCAAGAAAATAGAGATTAAAAATGCTGCTGTTTGCCAAGTATGAACCCGGTGCTCCCCATATCCTGAGATTGTAATTCCCAAATCCATCAATATTTGTCATTGGTTTTTGTTTAGTTGGATCAAAGATATCTTCAACTGTTGGAAAGGTCTGCGACACAGAATAATCCATTAGGGAGATGAAAGACATCAATTCTTCACGATTCATTGTGGATTCCTGGTCATGGTTTCCCAAAACAGCTGCCCATGGAATTCCAGATTCTATAACAGGACCAAAAACTTCAAACATAGATTCCGCAGCATCAGTAGCACTTGGCCCAAAAATGTTATCACCTGCATATCAAATCCAATTGGATCCATAGTTTCATTAACATTGTAAAACAATAAACCAATAATTTTCACTTCTTCAAAAATCAAAATTCAATATTTGCTTTTGTGACGCAATGTAAGGCAAGGGCAAGTTAAAGCAAAAAGAAGCTACCAAAAATATGGATCCAATTGCTTATTTTCTTTACTTGTGACAAAAGGTGGAATTGTGAATACACCCCCCCCCCCCCTCCCGCATCCCGCCCCTACAATTTGTGGAGGGGTAAATCATGGTGACTCAACTAACCAACAAAGGCTAGACTTTTGTTTACTACACACAAGAAGGCCCTCATTTTGAGAGGTTGCTCCCACACTGCGGCTAGTGAGACTCGGTCACTGGTCTCTTGTGACAAATTTCACTAATCCGATTTCTTGTTAGCATGAAAGGCTGCTTGTTGTAAGTCAATGTATCTATTAACCAATTATATTAACCCAAATACAATCTATTGGTACACCTATACTCCATGGCAATACACTGCACTACCCCAGCTTCCCTTTTACTGTTTTCTTCTCTCTCTTTTTTCCCTCAATGCATATATTCATTTTCCCAAAAAGGTAATTCGCACCCCCTTCTGGATATGCATGTATACAGTTCAAGCCATTAGTGGTTATGCAAGAGTTGAAAATTTTAGCTAATGACCTGTGAATACAACCAAATCGGGGTTTTCAAGCTGTATCAACTTCCTCAAGAACACGGTCGAGTTGAGATCGGAGCAATTGTCGAACTCAGTCTCCAGCACATCTCTGCACCGCGTCACCTTCCCGTTCCCATAGTGCATATCCGCAACCTGAAAGGGCCAAACCCGAAAACAAAATCAACATCAAATCAAATAATAATAAAAGCAATTAAGGTAATCATCGATAGGGCCCTTTGGCAAGACCTGAAGGATCTTGAAAGTGCCGTCGTGGGAGCGGAAGCGAAGAGGGAGGTCAGGCTGCTTCTTGAGGCGAGCGTTTCGGTGATCAACGGTGAGCCTGGGGGCTACAGTGAGGGTATGAAGGAGATGCAAAGCGGCGATGACGAGTAGGAGGAAAAGCAGAGAGTGGATCCACTGCGATGATTCCATTGATCAAATTTCAGAGAAGAAGAGCCACGCCGCCACAGCCCAGTTCTCTGCATACTTCAATTCAATGGGTCTTCCTTTACTCAAGTGCGATTTGGAATTTTCAATTTTAAATGTCTCTTTCAATTTAGATTTATATTTGTTTATCATTTCTACTGAACTCTTTACTCTTTTGTTTTTTTTCGGGCCTTTTGGGAGAACGATGAGATTGAAGCTGCACCAGTTGGATTTATATTGGTTTATCATTTTTACTGAACTCTTTACTCTCTTTTTTTTTCTTTATAATCGAAAATTTTAATGATGGGAGCTTGAAACTACAAATTATTTCAACGACAATCATATTCTATAGATATATACTCTGATTTCTCGATAGAGTATGGATGTGGTATATATATTTTTCTACAATTTGAGGGGTGCAATTGTTTGTCTTTTTTTTTTTTTTTTTTTTTTTTTTTTTTGAACCAAAACGCAAACGACTTCATTAAAAACTTAGCAAACCAGAAATACAAGTCGGTGAGATAAATTCCCACATTCCAGAGACAGAAAAAGAATCGGTTGCCCGCACTAACTCGTGGGTCACTCGATTTGCTGTTCTCTTGACATGGCATACACTAACGTTACCTATGTCATTAGCAATAGATCGACATTGCTTAACTACCACACCTACGTACGAATAATTCGTACTACTAGAATTAAAAACGTTACAGAAATTAATGCAATCGGATTCAAGAACAATATTATTAAAGTGTAGGCCTTTGAGCCACGTCAACGCTTCCTTCGCCGCAATTGCCTCCACCATTAACGGGTCTCGGCTGCCCTCTATTCGCCCATTTCTAGCCGCCATGAAACGACCATCGTGATCTTGAATAATAGCACCAAAGCCGGCTCCATCTGGGAACGTTGCAGCGTCGACGTTACATTTCAACGAGTCACGTGGTGGTGGTTCCCAATTGGCCGCATGCGCAGTATGATTTCCCCTTCTTGGACCTTTATAGTAACTACTAGTTTCCCACCTGCTCCTGCAAGCCCACGGTGGACGGCCATGTATTACGCCAAACCACATCATTCCGAGCTGACCAAAGCACCGAGAGGATAGCTGCGAACTTGATAGATTGTCCCAGCGTGGACTTATCCAACCAATGCTCTATACACGATTGCATGCTGCGTCCCTGCAATATATCCTCCCGCCTCTAAACCTCTCTGGCGTAGCAGCACTCATAGAAAAGATGTTCCGGTGTCTCGGCCAGGTGACCACAAAATGGACATCCTCCGCCTATGAAAACGCGCTTCGTCTTCAGATTTTCCCGCACCGGAAGAACCCCGCGAGCGCAGCGCCATAACAGGTTTCTCACCTTTGGAAGAACTGGCAGTGCCCATAATTTGTTCCAAACCTGAAACTCTTCCACGGTGTTGTTCGGCCCAGTGTTTGTTGTTGATAACCGGTACCCATGTTTCACACTGTAAAGCCCATGCAGGTCACCCAACCACCTCCATGAATCTTTGAAGTGAGTATTTACCGGTGTAGCGATAATCCTCCTGGCATCCTCCTCCTGGAAAATGTCTTGAATGACTTCCACATCCCATGCTCCGCTTTCATCAAGCAAGTCGCTGAATGTAGCAAAACGTAGTTCATCAATGCATGCAGTATGTAACTCCGGTTTTGCCGCGTCCGAGAGCCATGGCCATTCCCATATTTTTGTGTCACGTCCATCCCCAATCCGCTTGGCTAACCCCAATTTTAACACCTTCTGCCCTGCAAGAATGCTTCGCCATATATAGCTTGGATTCCCCCCCCGACTGCGCCTCCATGAAGCCACACCCCGGGAAGTATTTCGCCTTTAGTAATCTGCTGACGAGTGAGTCCGGATTGATTAGAATACGCCACCCTTGTTTCGCTAACAAAGCAACATTGAAATCATGGAGCCGTTTGAAACCCAATCCCCCTCTCGTTTTCGGCTCGCACAACCTGTCCCAGCTCAGCCAATGAATTCCCCTCCTGCCTGTACCACCACCCCCCCCCCCACCAAAATCGGTTGAAAAGCTTCTCAAGCGAGTCGCAGACACGTACTGGCAATAAAAACATAGACATCGTAAATATGGGCATGGATTGTGCTATACTTTTCAGTAAAACCTCCTTACCGGCCCTCGAGAGTAACTTATTTTGCCAAGTCCCAATACGCTCCCGCACCTTCTCTTCTATATAATGAAACGTGGCAATTTTACTCTTACCAAGGACTGATGGTAAGCCCAGATATCGGCCTAGGTCCGCTGCAATGTTCACGCCAAGACACTCAGAAATCCAATTCTTCACCTCAACCGTCGTGTTCAAACTAAACACAGCATTGGATTTATCAAAGTTGATAAGTTGCCCTGAAGCCGCACAGTATAAATCCAGACATCCCTTAATCTTCATAGTTTCCTGCTGATTTGCCCTGAAGAACAATAGACTATCGTCAGCAAAGAAGAGGTGCGTAATGGTCGGAGCTCCCCGAGCCACTCGCACACCATGAATATCACCCCTTGCCTTCGCCTGCTGTAGCAGGACCGACAACCCTTCAGCACACACAATGAACAAGTACGGGGATAATGGATCCCCTTGCCTTATGCCCCGAGTGGGGCAAATCGTACCCACCCCCTCGCCATTTACTTGAATAGTGTATTTAACAGTTGTAACACACAACATCAACAGCTCGACCCAACCCCTGTCAAACCCCAACACCCGTAACATTCCTTCTAAAAAAGCACACTCCATCCGGTTGTATGCCTTAGCCATGTCTAGCTTAAGCGCCGCCCACCCCACAATCCCACTAGTTTTTCTCCTCAGATAATGCCCAATTTCCCCGGCTACAATCACATTATCCGTCAGCAACCTCTCGGGAACAAAGGCGCTTTGAGACGGTGACACAACTAACTCCAGACTTCCCTTGAGCCTATTTGTCAACATTTTGCCCAGCACCTTATATACCACATTACAAAGCGCTATCGGGAGCAGATCAGATACCCTTTCCAGGATCTTCTTTTTTTGGCAAAAGGACGATGTTAGAATCATTGAGACCCGCTGGCAAACTTTTTTTCTCCACACAACGAAGAACAAACATGGCCAGGTCATGTCCCAACACCGGCCAGAAGTGTTGATAGAAGGCCGGCGACATGCCATCGGGCCCTGGTGCTTTCTCCGGGGCCATAGAAAACAAAGCGCTTTAACCTTTGCGATTGTAAACGGTTGTAACAAAGAGACATTCATCTCATCCGTTACCCGTCTCCGAACGCAAGAAAATAGGTTTGGGCTACTTGTACTGGATGAAAAAGTGCAATCATAGTACCTTAGAATTTCTTCATGCATAGTTGTGCCTTCCTTCCATGTTCCGCCCGGATCTTTGACACGCACTAAAAGGTTTCGTCGACATCGGGCCGAAGCGGCCTTATGAAAGTAACTGGTATTCGCATCGCCATGCTTGAGCCATAACTGTTTAGACCGTTGCTTCCAGAAAATCTCTTCCTGTTGTAGTAAAATCTCTAGCTCCCCCTCAACAGCCAGAAATTCATCCACAGCCTGAGGTGCGCGATCCTCTTGTAAACTATCCAGACGGCTTCGCAATTCTCTGATCCGGTTCCCAAAACGCCGGAAATGCTCTCCACCCCACCTAGCCAACCGCTGCCCGCACAAAGTTATACGCTGCTGAAAATCCAGACCTGTAGATTGACGCCATGCTTCATCGACCACCTTCGCGCACCCCTCCTCTAACAGCCATGCTGATTCAAACTTAAACGAATGCGTGGCTGCCCGTACAGGTCTAGACTCGATGTCGACATAAATAGCGCTATGAGCAGACTGCAACGTTCTTATCTTGCGTACCAGCGTTTCCTCGTACGATTCCGCCCATTCCACCGTAGCTACCGCTCTATCCAGCCTCTCCTCTACCCAGGACTCCGTCCCCCTTCCCCGTTCCCACGTGAACCTGCCACCCACCATCCCAAGATCGATTAACTAGCAGTCGCTTAAAGTGTCATTAAATCCCTCAACCAGCGATACAGGTTGCGAATGTATGCCCCTCTTCTCCGATAGACTTGAGACATCGTTGAAATCACCAACGACAACCCAAGGCAATGGCGAATTATCTTTGAGTTGCCGCAGCAGATCCCATGTGATGTGCCTGTCTGATCTCTCTGGATTTCCATAGAACCCCGTCAACCTCCATGATGGCTTGCCCGGTAAAGAGACTTCCATATCTATATGGTTCTGAGAGTAGCTCAATAGTGAGGCGCCATCTGCATCCCTCCAAAGTAACGCCAGTCCTCCCCCCATGCCCTGCCGATCCACGTTAATCATCCCTTCAAAACCTAACTTCACCATCACCTCCTCCACTCGCTGTAACTTGGCTTTCCTCTCCATTAGAAAGACGAAAAAGGGTCGCTGCTTGGACACCATGCCCAAGAGTTCTCGAACTGTCCGGGTACCACCCAAACCCCGACAGTTCCAGCTTAGGATACTCATTTGGCTTGGCGAGCCTGGTCCACCAGACCCGCAGACATATTGTTTTTTGAAGTCTCTACCATCGTGACATCCTCCGCATGCGTACTGGCAGACGCTTCAGAGTCTTCTCGACGCCGTTTCAAGTCCCCTTGCAAACCTCCGCTCTCCTCCATGGCCTCCAACAATGGGGGCGAAATCCCGGTAACGGGAGCGGTCGCCGCCTCAGAAAGTTGTCCAGGCGCTGACAGGAACCATTTAGCCTCTACCGGACGCACTTGGTGACGTTGACCTGCCCTCATCCAAACACCAAACGGGAAAGCTTCTGGTGAAATCCCCTCCTCGTATACCCTTCTGCAAAACTTATCTGAATGCCCCAGCACTCCACAATAGAAGCAGAACGTGCTGAGGCATTCATAGCGAAATGTGATCCATTCTGATGTGCCATCTTCACGCATCAGCTTCATGCGCCTCTTCAGTGGTGAGGCGATATTCATCAGCACTCTGAGCCGGTAAAAACTCCTCCATGATCCACCAAAGTTAAAGGGGTCGATGGACACGAACGTGCCCACATAATTTCCGATCCTCGTGAGAAACTCCGTGGATGCGTACACTGTCGACAACCCATGAACCTGGACCCAAAATGAGATAGAGTCCAGATGCACCTCTTCCGGCCTAGTTTCGGGCGGAACCTGTGCGCATACAAATGTGTGGTTCTCGAAAGTCCATGGACCATCATCAAGTACTCGTTGCAGGTTCTTCAGGTGGGGGAATTGAAACAGAAACAATTCATCCGTTAATGGCACAACATGCATGCCCATCACTGGTCTCCAAACGGAGGCCATAACCTGCCGCATGAATTCGAATTTGATCGGCCGATCTGTAAGGAAGCGCCCTACCAAATTATACTCGATCGCTGCGTCTGGGTTCGTCTGAATATCATGTGCTTCCAACGCATTAATCTCTTCCTCGGCAAGTGACAGATCCGCGCATCGCTCCTCAATCTGACGGGTATCCATCATGGATCGGGGAAATCGTGGAAGAAACAGTAGGATGAGACAACAAGCAAACACTGAGAATTCCATCATCAGCAGCAGAATATAAACCCTAGATCGCTAGGGAAGAACTCCCTTGGCCACCACCAAGAGAGAGGGCCACGTTCTAAACCACGATCGGAGATCACGATCGGAAGAGGGGAACGAATATTACGAAGCAAATTTTCCCACATATTTCTCTTTCCTCTACCTAAATTTTAAAACTTACAAAAACCTTCCAAAATCAACTATTGTTGATGCCCCTCACTCACATAAATCCTAATTGTGAACTTCACTAATTTAGATTCGAAAACTTGTTTGTCTCTTAATATCTAGGGAGTTTAAGTGCAATTATCCTTAGAGTATCCATATCCGTTGAGGTTATTTTTTCAGTTTTTTGTGGATCCCAGCATCCACCTCATCACAAAATCATTTTTCCCATTAGTTTTAGGTTTTTTTTCTCAATTTTTAAGAAGGTAGACCAATCCGAGGGGGAGGAAGAAGCTAAGAAGCACATACTGGAATTTTTCATCAACTTATTTATCAAGGAAACACAGACCAACACTGGAAGCGTCTTGAGAGGTTGATTCTCAGCTCTGTCTTATGCGGATGAGCAAGACCTCAACAAACCATTTACCAAGAGGAAGTAAGACAAGCACTATGAGAGATGCCACCATTTAAGGCTCCAGGCCCAGACAGCTACCAGGCTGGATTCTACCAATAGGTATGTCATACTTTAGAGGATTCATTTACTGACTTTGCTTTGAACTTCTTTGACAACGGAACACTTCCGGATAGATGCAATGACACAATGATCACGTTGATCCCCAATGTCTCGAATCCAGTGTCCGTTAAGCAATTTAGACCAATTGGCTTATGCAACGTGTCCTACAAAGTATTGACAAAGACCATGACAATGAGACTCAAAAATCACATGCAGAAGCTAGTAGGACCACACCAAACGAGCTTTGTGCCGGAAGACAAATAACCAATAATATATTGGTGTATCAGGAGGTCCTTAATTCCATGAAAGCAAACCAAGGTGCAATAGGGTGGATGACTCTTAAAATTGATCTAGAGAATGCATATGATAAGCTCTGTTGGGAGGTCATAAGCGACACCTTAGAAGATATTGGCTTCAATCACACTTGGGTTAGAAACATTGTTGCTTGTGTTCAAACTTCCAGATTAGCAATAACTTGGAAAGGAGAAAGGACCGACTGGTTTAAACTGAAAAGGGGAATCAAACCAGGCGATCCCATTTCTCCACTTTTATTTGTGCTTTGCATTGAGCGTATAAACCATTTAATCGAAGACTATATTAGCATGGTATAACAATTGAACTCTACCACCAATTCATTAAATTTACTACTTTAACCCCAAAAATGAGCCCGGTTCAGTTTAAGCCCAAATCAACTACAACATTATTTTGACAAATTATTATGTAAGATTCGCGTCCAAATGTTCACAATTTACATATTAAATATTCACAATTTATCTTTTAAAAATTCACAATTGTATACTACGAACACAATGTTAACATATATGTGATTGATTACCTTGTTTTGTATTTACAATTTTTTTTCAGATATTGTAGTCACACAATATTAACATACCATGTATTGTATTCACAAATTCTCTTCTACAGCTGCTATATATTTTGACTTAGAAACACAATTTATATTCTAGAAGTTCACAAGTTCAATACTAAAAAGTAAAAATACACAATTATACATCATTTAGAACCAAGATCCACCTTGCAAGGTGGATCCTAATCCATGGTATAAAAACTCCATTATTTTCCTTCCAAATTATTTCTCCAAAATGGCCTAAATACTCAGCCCACAACCCACCCTTCTTATATCAATTAAGAGTTAATTTCATTGTTGCCCTTAGATTTATAAGTGACAATCCACTTTGAGTCCTTTTTATTAGAACATCCTTATTTGGTCCTAATATTATTGTGGCATGATCATATTTTGTCCTCCTTCAAGAAAATCGTTGATATTTCAATGATATTTAAACTAAATTAAAAAAAAATGCACATGCCAAAAAATATATATACATATGAGGAAAAAATATTAGGTAACAACCACTTAACACGTATGCCCCGCTCAGTGGTAGAGCGTCAGTCTTGTAAACTGAAGGTCTGTAGTTCAATCCTGCATGGGGGCATGGAGGGTCGGAATCGGAATGGGTATCAAATATTTGGTGGTAGTAAGGTGGAATGGGAATGGTTACTAATAGTAGGGAATGAAACCCTTATTGTATTTGGGTGAATAAGGGAATGAAACCTGGGTTCTTCAATTGATGGGGTATTCGAAACCCATAGTAATGTTCTAAAAATCTATCAACCAAACAACAACAATCACTTTCATACCCATTCCTATGTGCAAAACCCACCAACCAAACACACCCTAAAAAAAAAATTGCATTGTTATTTGTTTAAGGATTTTACATTTATTTTAATGTATTAAATGTTTATTTTAAAGTAGTATATCTAAAAAGAACACTCAGTACATTATTAATAAACATTTAATATAATAAAAAGAATATTTATCAGAGATCCATAGTATAATTTGTCGGCATTGGAAGGTTAAATTTTTGTTTTTGGTGATATTCTTTAAGTTAGCATGATTGAGAAGGTGTGACGAATTGCAAATTGTTTTTTTTTTTAAAGATAAAAATTGAAATGTATTTTAATTTTGTATGACATTTTACGGAACCAAATTAGGTGCTATTATTGGAATAAAAATATTGAGTTGGCGGGTATTATTACTCCGTATTATACAATATACAATGCATGTTGTGATGCTAACATGATGTCTTTGCAATAATATAGATTAGCAATTTCTCTTTAAAAAGTTTCTCTTTAAAGGGTCTCTTTGAAACCCTTTTTCTTTTTGAATGATTTCTTTTCAATGTTTGGCTATGGAAGAAAAATAAACTGAAAAAAAAAATATTGATTTTGGTCAAAGAAAAAAAAAATACAAAAAGTGTATGTCCCGTCTCTCTTATTTCTCTCGTCTTCTCTCTTGTGCCTCTCCAATAAATTTCTCTTAGCTCTTATATATATTTCATTAATTAGATAAGTCATGCGCACTCAACGATCAAAATATTGACTGTTGAGTGTGTATTTAATTCTTTTATCACTATATATATATATATATATATATATATATATATATATATATATATCCTATAATATTCTTTCATTTTTATTCAAAATTTTGTCTACAATCCATCAATCCTACTCTTTCAATATTTTTTATAAAATTTAAATTGCACTTCCTCTCAACCTCTCCACTTGCTCTAAGGAAGAACAATAGCTAATCGACTAGGCGGCCTAGTTTGCGGCTAAGTGGCCTAGGCAATCAGATCAGCACCTAGTCGGCCGGTCGCCTAGACCACCGATTACGGTGATACGCTAGGAGATGGTGAAGAATTTGCCTTATAGATTTAGTAGATATATATTTTTGGTATAATAATAAGAATTGCAGATTTTTCTTTTAATTCTTTCTACGAAATAAGGCTTCTAAAGCGAGTAACATGAAATTGAATTTTGTTACAATTAGAAATAGAGGCCTCATGAGTAATGGGTGCTACAATCGATTACATTTCATTATCAATGATATCCCTCATCATCTGTATTGGGATGAGACCTTCAGTTCTGATTGCATCTTTGTTTGAATCTGGACTGATGAAATACAATGTAGGTAATCCTCGAACCTGTGAAAACAATATTTACAACACATTCTTAATTGCCATGGATTAAAATTTTAAATAGTGCATGCTCAAATAATGAACCTTATGCACATAACTAATGAATCTTATGCACATAACTAATGAATCTTATGCATATAAATAATGAACGCTCAAGTTGTTTTCATATTAATTTGTATACATTCAAATAATGAAACATTACGTATAAAAATAATGTACCTTATGCATAAAAATAATGTATCATATGCATAGAAAATAGAAATAATGTATCTTATGCATGGCCCATGGTCCTCCTAATAAGCATTGAGGATTGTATATTTGTATGTACATGTCACTTGGTATCCCAACCAATCAAAAATCAACACATCATTGGTTTTCAGAGAGAAAAAGATCCATTGGCTAAATGAATATGCAGATAACAGAATCAGAGGCATGATGTTGGGGGGAAATAAAACAGATAACAAAACTTGTAAAGGATAATTGCACCTTGCACCCATCCATGGAGAATATTTTATATGTAGAAAGATATACTCCATAGCATAATGATGAAAAATAAAGATTTTCAAACCCCCAAAATCATTTTGGTTTATAGATTTCAAGGAGAGTGATCCTTCTTCAAAGACGAGTTAGAAATTATCATTACCTGCATTTCACGTGCAAATTCATATTCATCATCTGTGTCAACCTTCACAATAACTGCATTGCTTTCATACTCTACAGCAAGCTGAGGTAAAATCATCATATAACAACTAGTCAAGAGAAAAGAAATGAAGAAAATGGTATTATGCAGCAATGGTCAATGAGATATATCGACAATGTGAGATAAATGTAAATTTCCATTGCACAAAAGTCTAATAAAATCATGTTTGCAGGTATGATTCTTCTTACCATTTCAAGTTCTTGAGCCATCAGTATACAAGGACCACACCACGTTGCATAGAAATCAATAATCACTGGCACACTCCTTTCTCCCTTTATCAGCTCTTGGATCTCTTTGGCAGAGAGCTTCTTCTGCAACAGGAAACCAGTACAAACTCAATCCGTTAAATGAAAAGAAAACCTCAAAAAAGGTGCTAATAATAAAAGTAAGTATCTCTACGTATATCCATACCACAAGGTAATCCTCTCTGACATATTTCCCCAAGGGCGGTCTGCAAATGGACTTTCTTGAGGTTGATAATAGTGGAGAGGATCTAATGGCAGGACTCCAAGAATTCCAACCAGGGGTTCTCGACAAGAGACAATTTTTGGGTTTTGAACAAAACTGCAATTGGGGAGACGCAACCAGTGGTGCTGCAGACCGAACTGAGAGACAGCCAGCGGCGGCTAACTGCAGCATTCTTTTCAAGCTTCCTTAGCAACTAACTATGTGCATTAGAAGAATGTCAGGAAATGAGAATTTAGAGAGGTTTAAGGATTGGAGGTTTGGAATGCTTAGCTAAAAAAGTAAAACTTGCATGCCCTACCACTGAATGCAGAATACTACACCAACAAAAATCCAAATAATCAGATGAGGAGATTATTTTTATTTATTGATTTTTTCATTAAAAAAAGTGAAAAAAAAAAAAAGAGAAAAATATGAAGTTCATAAGTCATAACCTCTTATGGCCATACGTTAGGGGCAGAACTACCAGCTCCATAAAATGAAAAGTAGCTTATATAAAAACTAAGAAAACCATAAGGTCTGACAGAAACTTGAGTGTAAAAACAAGCTATGGTATATTTTCAAAAAAAAAAAAAAAAACACCTTAAACTCCAACTTTTTAGGTAAAGGAACGTAATAGGGCAGATAGAAAATTTCATACGAGTGGGGACGAAGAAGTGAAGGAAAAATGTTCAAATACAAAATATCAAATACGAATAAGATTGTTCAAATACAAAATACATTATAAATTACAAGACAAGGTTTATGATGAACTACGGGATAATTAATCATATCATTCATTATATATATTCATATCATTAATTAATCAATGATATAAAATGAATCCAACTAATCTGTAATTACTAGACGGTCTCTATTTTCTAATTAGCATAGAAATAAATCCAACTAAACCAATTTTAGGAATCCCAACTAAACATATGCAAAGCATAATTTCTGGAAATAAAAAAGAAGCACGGCATATCGAGTGTGTATATAATATATATATAGCCAATTTTCTAGGTGAGGGGTAAGTGTAAACCCTGAATCCAAATTCTCTAGTACTCAAGCTGTCTTTTGCATTCCTATTCAAGTGAAAAGATTTTGGCATAAAGAAATAGGCACAGATAAGTATTAACAGAGAAAATTGGGAGCAAATGGAAATGGCATTGGCACTTTTCAGATAGATATGCTATGAGTTCTTTAAACACTAAAAATTGAATAGATAGGGTTCTTTTATTGCAAGGGTATAACAAATTAACAATATCATTATCATATTTTGTTGGAGGTATCCGATTCACTTGTTGGAGAAGTTCAAAACTCAAAACTTAGGGCAAACAATTGAACATTTGAACAAATTAAGATTTATAGAAAGGGGGTGCGACCGGTGCGAACAACGAACCTGAGGGCTGAGGGTGAAGACGGAGCCGACGACAGATGACGGTTGAAGACGAAGCCGGGAAACCGGCGAGGCAGAGGCAGAGGCGCAGAGGACAGAGCAGTGGTTCGCGACAGATAGAGCGATAGAGCGGTGAAAGCTTGGCTGAAACTGGTTTTAAAAAAATTGTCCATTATGTATCAACTTTTAACCCAATACAATACAAGCAAATCAGTTGCTAACAACTAAGAATGTAAAATTGCATCCAACACGCATTCTGTAAAATTGCAGAATAAAAACCTCTAAATATCTATAATCAGCGTATTCTATTTCCAAACCTCCAGCACTCAAAGTCCATAATATATATAGACTGCAATAAAATCTCATTAAAGATATAACAGGCAGGGCTCATTACCTCACACGATGATGCTTCAGGCGGGTGCTGACCTAGGGCGAGAGCTAGTGGGGGAGTGGAGGACGGCGACAGTGGCCAGGGCTAGAGGGTGAGGGAATGAGAGTGACTATAGTTCGTAAAGAAGCGGCCGGCGACAGTGGCTGAGGATGAAATATCCTGGATAAAAGATAGTTTACAAATTATGGAGTATCTAACTATCTATTTGGAAAAATAGCAATAGTACTTAAGTCTTTAACGGATAAAGAGACATTATTAAAAAATTTCACCATTCACGGAAAACAAAACTTTTTTTTTAAATACATTTGGCCATGTTTGGTAAAATGGCGGTTAGTTGATTGTGTTAATTAGAAGGTATAAATAGTTGATAACATTAGCTGATTGTAGAAAAGTATTTGGTAAATTAGCTGTTAGCTGATAGCTGTTTAGTATAATTTCTTTTCTCAAAAAACTAATTGAAAAAGTTGTTTGGAGTAGTTTTTTGAATTTTAACCTTTTGGAGCTGCAAAAAGCTAATTAACCAAACATTTATATTGATATTTTAACTAAATCAAGGTTGATGAAGTAAAAGCATCCTTGTTCTCTATGGCTCCGGAGAAGGCCTCGGGTCCCGATGGCATGTTGCCATTGTTTTATCAACACTTTTGGCCAATTGTGGGCCATGATTTGGCTATGTTCGTTATACACTGTATAACATCTTGTACATTTCCACAAGAGTTAAACGATGCGAACATTACCCTTATCCCAAAAAAGAAGACACCGGAAACAGTGTCTGATTTGCGCCCAATTGCATTGTGCAATGTGGCCTATAAAGTGTTAGCTAAGGTTTTAGCTAATCGGATGAATGTGGTACTAGAATGTGTGGTATCTCAGTAGCAAAGTGCTTTTGTGCCTGAAAGACTTCTAACCAATAATATAATAGTTGCAGGGGAGATTGGGCATTTTTTGAGACGCAAGACGGGTGGAATGGTGGGCTGGAGAGCGTTGAAATTGGATATGGCCAAAGCGTACGACAGGATGGAATGGGGATTTCTAGACGGCATGCTATTGGCGCTGGGATTTGCCCGGGAGTGGACGGAGTTATTGAAACTGTGCGTATCTACTGTCAGGTACACTATTCAGATTAACGGGGAGCCTGTGGGCTCAGTTTGTCCTTCTAGAGGTATCCGACAAGGGGACCCGCTGTCCCCCTATTTATTTATTTTGTGTGTGGAGGCCTTATCTTTACTGTTACAACAGGCTGAAGCGGCTGGGGGTATACATGGTGTTCGAGTGGCACGAGGTACCCCATCTATTTCACACATTTTTTTCGCCGACAACAGTCTTGTTTTTTTCTAGGCGAATCATAGTGAAGCGCAGCGAATTAGGGACTGTTTGGAGGCATACTGTACGGCTTCAGGTCAGCGAATAAACTACGACAAGTCATTTGCTATGTTCAGCTTTAATACCTCGGCCGAATCAAGACAAGCGGTGATTCAATGTATGGGGGTTTGTGAATCGACGGATCTTGGTCGGTATCTGGGTCTCCCTTCGGTTTTAGGACGTAATAAGAAAGCAACGTTTCGATAGATTGAGGAAAAGATTCGGGACAGGATCGGGGCTTGGCAACATAAGTATCTCTCTAAAGCTGGTAAAGAGATCCTTCTAAAAAGCATTGCTCAGGCCCTCCCGATTTTCTCTATGTCTGTCTTTTTACTGCCACATAGTGTTTGCGATTCAATTGAAAAGATTTTCAACCGGTATTGGTGGGGTGGGGGTGGCACAAGCAGTAGGGGGATACATTGGATGAGCTGGACACGGCTGTGCGTGCCGAAGGATCGAGGAGGGCTTGGTTTTAAGAAAATCCGCGAATTCAATGTAGCTCTTCTTGCCAAACAGGGTTGGAGATTGTTGGTACATTCAGAGTCTCTAGTCAGCAAGGTTTTGAAAGCTAAGTATTTTCCTACGTGTGGTTTTCTTGATGAAAAATTGGAGTGAATCCGAGCTTCATATGGAGAAGTATCCTAGCAGGTCAGCAAGTGCTCAAACTAGGTGTGACGCGTCAGATAGGGGACGGTAAGGAAACAAGAATCTGGGACTGGCCATGGGTTACCAATGTAGAAGATCCAAATCTCATCACACCCCGGAGGGAGGATTTAGTGGAGGCAACGGTGAATGGACTGATGACAGGGCAAGGACAATGGGATGCGGAAGTTATTCGGGACATTTTTCTGAGCGCCGATGTGAACAAGATCCTAGCAACACCGATCTCTACACACCTTAAGGATTCGTGGCGCTGGCGGGGTGATATCCGGGGTACGTACACGGTTAAACACGGATACAAATTACTCATGGAGACGACACTGGTTGAGGACCCGCATGTTATTTTTTCGGCCTGGAAGCAGTTATGGAGACTGCCGGTTCCACCTAAAATCCGCAACCTTCTGTGGAGGTGTGCACGTGGTGTGTTGCCGGTAAGAGAGAACTTAAAGTCGAAGCGTGTCTGGATTGGTGGCAGATGTCCCATATGCGGCAGTGGGGCGGAAACAGTTGAGCATTTGTTTTGCGATTGTGTGCAGGCGCGCCGGCTGTGGGGAACGGATGACATTCCATAAGGTAGTACTGTCCAACACTTCATGGAGTCCAGGTTGGTATTGCCGAGCTCGGATCAGGCAGTTCGAATGGCGGCAATGTTCTAGGTTATCTGGAATACCCGCAACGATATGGTTTGGCGAAATAAGGAGAGGCAGATGGAAGTTATGCTCGTACAGGTCACCACGCTGCAGACCGTTATGAAGGAGGTCTATTTATCTCATAAACCGAATGGACACGGTGTGATTACTCATATCCATTGGAACCGCCTCCTCCAAATTATTATAAATGCAACGTGGGCCCTTATCCCTAAACCCAATCCTTAGTCCTAAAAGGAATAGAGTTAGCAAACCTATAGTAATTAGGCCCTAAGTAAGACTCTTAGATATATAAATAGGGAACATAAGGAGGCACCTAGAACTCCCACCACAATAATCTCTCACCACACCAAGAATTCCAAGAATTCCCCTAGGAGAAATCAAGAAAGAAGAAAGCTCAAAGAAAGACCCTTCATAGCCAAGGAATTAATTAAGGCTAAGAGGTAACCCATGTCTCAACAAAACCTATTTTCATAGCTATGATTCCCCTCTTAGGATTTCCCCCATATTCTTGTGTGTTGATGATTCGTTATAATGATCTTGATAATTGGTGCTATGATTCCATAGGTAATCTTGATGATAAGAGGTTCTTGATGATTATATGGTGTTCTTGATGTTCTTAATGATTATATGATGTTCTTGATATTTATATGATATTCCTATCGAATCTTGATTTTAGAAGATGAATTGTGTTCTTGTTGATTTAAAAATAATTAGAACCCTAGGTTATATCGTGGAATTCGTATGGTATTATTCTTGGTATATTGGGTGGGAATTCGCATGATTGGGTGTTGATTATGTTTAGAAAAACATGATAGGTTATGTGCCGTATGTTTCTTGATTTTGATCCGTTAATTGTCTACGTGTGTTATCAATTGCGTTTGAAAGTGTCTAAGCATGGTTTCGGGTTCCACAAAGGTTCCCGGGGCGTTTTTGGTGAAAAAGAGTCAGTGGGGGGTAGGGGACCCGCCACCTACCCACGACCAAAAGAGGTCTCGCCGGCAGCGGGCAGCCGGCGGGCGGGCAGCTGCCCGCCGGGCACCCGCTGCCCGGAACAGTGCCGCCGGCGGGTGACCCCTCACCCACCGGCTACCCGCTGGTTTGTACCCCACCTTGGGATTTTGGCTTCCTCGTTTGATGTTCCCCCGACCCCTGTGACATCCTAACGGACTCCGTCCATCGTGCCCATGTCTAGTTTGATATTTCGGGTACCATTCGTAGGTTGTACGAGTCTTATATATTGCATGCTAGTTGAATTGGTATCCTGTTGACCTAGGTGAAAGAAGTATGAACCCCTTAGGAGTATTCTTAGTATGTGAAGGATCACGCATAGGTTTTGTTATGCGTTTCCTCCCCCTTCCCAATGTATTAATGTGGGTTGCATGTGCTTGCTATGTGTTATGTGTGCATGATACCCCAATTTGGTTGCGATCAAATTGGCTATACGGGCAGTTGGATGGGTTGAGAACCATACTGACTGTTAACTAGGCCGGTTGCGATCGGTCAGGTATATAAATATTATATAGGGCTGCGGTCCACCATTCTACATGAGCTGCGGTTCATTTCCTGGCTACGGTCAGATGACATACTCTTGGGCTGCGGTCCACTGTTTGGTTGCTATCAAACTATGATGAGCTGCGGTTCATCGGTCGGTTGCGATCGACCCCTCCGTATTGTGAGACGGGGCAGGGTGTTGCGGGACCGTGTCAGAGCTATATGCGCTGACCCTCATGTATGGGCATGCGATTGGTCCTGTGGCGCCAACAAAGTGTGCTTATGTGATGAGATATGGATGAGTTGTGATTATGAGTATCCTGGGGATGAGACTACGGGATTTACGTTGGGGATTGTTTATGTTGGGTTATGATTATTGACTATGCTCAGTCTTATCTGCCTTGCCTGTTGCGAACTATATATGCTTGCTATAACTGCCGTTTGTGCTTAGCTTTATGTGTCGAGTCTATCCCTGTTTTAAAAACTAGAGTTCGTAGGATATATCTTCATGTTCAAAATGGTTTTCGTATATCTATATATATATATATATATATATATATATATATATATATATATATATATATATATATATATATGTATGTATGTATTATATTTCAACGCGTTGGAGTGGGTTACCAGCATCTCTCGCTGAACAGATATATTTGGCTTTCAGGCACAGAGGAGTAGACACTGGAGCGGCCAGAGTCTTGAAGCGTAGAAGTAGATAGTTTTCCCTTCGGCCTGCGTGCCATGCTTATATATTTACATTATTGAGGATATTAGTTAGTTAGCCTGTGCACCTGAGTTCTCTAGCTCAGGTGTGGCATAGCACCCCGTACTCTTTATATTATGTTTTGGGATTTAATAAGAATTTACCTTTATTATATAAGCTTCAAAAATTTAAAAATTTCGGGGTGTTACAGTAGTGGGGGGTCTTTCATGGCAGCAAAGAGCGGCCGGATTGTATGCGAATGTGATCCTCTTATGGCCGAAGCAGTTGCGGTTCGAGAAGCT